TGGTTCCCAATCCTGCTGGAAAGGCATAACGAGTGGGGTTCCGCAGGGGTCTGTTTTGGGACCGGCTCTGTTCAATATCTTCATTAACGACTTAGATATTGGTATAGAAAGTACGATTATTAAGTTTGTGGATGATACCAAACTGGGAGGGATTGCAACTGCTTTGGAGGACAGGGTCATAATTCAAAATGATCTGGACAAATTGGAGAAATGGTCTGAGTTAAACAGGATGAAGTTTAACAAAGACAAATGCAAAGTGCTCCACTTAGGAAGAAAAAATCAGTTTCACACATACAGAATGGGAAGAGACTGTCTAGGAAGGAGTACGGCAGAAAGGGATCTAGGGGTTATAGTGGACCACAAGCTAAATATGAGTCAACAGTGTGATGCTGTTGCAAAAAAAGCAAACGTGATTCTGGGATGTATTAACAGGTGTGTTGTGAGCAAGACACGAGAAGTCATTCTTCCGCTCTACTCTGCTCTGGTTAGGCCTCAGCTGGAGTATTGTGTCCAGTTCTGGGCACCGCATTTCAAGAAAGATGTGGAGAAATTGGAAAGGGTCCAGAGAAGAGCAACAAGAATGATTAAAGGTCTTGAGAACATGACCTATGAAGCAAGGCTGAAAGAATTGGGTTTGTTTAGTTTGGAAAAGAGAAGACTGAGAGGGGACATGATAGCAGTTTTCAGGTATCTAAAAGGGTGTCATGAGGAGGAGGGAGAAAACTTGTTCACCTTAGCCTCTGAGGATAGAACAAGAAGCAATGGGCTTAAACTGCAGCAAGGGAGGTCTAGGTTGGACATTAGGAAAAAGTTCCTAACTGTCAGGGTGGTTAAACACTGGAATAAATTGCCTAGGGAGGTTGTGGAATCTCCATCTCTGGAGATATTTAAGAGTAGGTTAGATAAATGTCTATCAGGGATGGTCTAGACAGTATTTGGTCCTGCCATGTGGGCAGGGGACTGGACTCGATGACCTCTCGAGGTCCCTTCCAGTCCTAGAATCTATGAATCTATGAATATGAATCTATGGATCCCTGGGTAGGAGATGAGTGTGTCTGGGCTGGGGAAGGCCCCACAGCTGGGCTCTGAGGGGTGTGAAGGCTCCAGGATGGGGCCAGGGATGAGGGGCTTGGGGTGCAGGAGGGTGCTCCGGGTTAGGACCAATGTGTTCAGAGGGCAGGAGGGGGATCAGGGCTGTGGCAGGGGACTGGGGTGCGGGGCGGGCTCAGGGGTGCAGGCTCCAGGTGGTGCCTACAGCAAGCAGCTCCCGGAACCATGTCCCCCTTCTGGCTCCATGGCGCAGCCAGGCGGATCTGCGTGCTGTTCCATCCGCAGGCACTGCCCCTGCAGCTCCCACTGGTCGGGAACCATGGCAAATAGGAGCTGCAGGGGCAGCATCTGAAGATGGGGCAGCGTGCAGAGCCGCCTGGCCACGCCTCCACGTACTACATAGGAGCCGGAGGGGGATCATGCTGACTGCTTCCTGGAAGCTACATGGAGCGGGGCAAGCCCCCAACCCCGCTCCCCGGTGGGAGCTGAGGGCCAGATTAAATGGTCTGATGGGCCGGATGTGGCCCAAGGGCCATAGTTTGCCCACCCGTCATAAGGGTTTCTTTAACAATACCGACAAAAAATTCCCCCAGGAGTAGAGAGTTGCAGACATACTTGCTGACAGGTATTTTGAAATAAATTACCAAAATAATTGGAACTGGTGTGATTATATAGTGTTATTTTGACAAATAAAATTTGCAGAATTTTGCAGTTTTAAAATATTTTGTGCAGAATCTTTAATTTTTTGGTGCAGAATTCCCCCAGGAGTATGACTTGTAGTCTGGTATCTTACCTCCAAGAGAAGCCAGTTCAGGTATTTCAGAGGAAGATGCAAGAACCCTTGGACTGGCTACTTATGGAAAAGCATCTTGCAAAGGGAGTTCCTGCCTTAACCCAACTACTGACAAACTGGGGTATGCACAAAAGGTGAGAACTCACACACTAGGCTATCCCAAACTTCCACATTTGGGAGTGAAATTTGTCATGTGTCATCTCTACCCAAAACAGGATTTTAATACTTAGAGAAAACTCCCTTGAGCTCCTGAGTTATGGGACTGTTAAGACTTTTTCCCATCGTAAAAAAATATTCTAGACACAATCTGCCCTTCCCTCAAACAGGCACAAAAGTGGCTGAGATACAGCCTTGTTTACTTGGGGTAGGGAGCAGGACTTTGATCAGAAAGTACAGCCTCAGCTCTTTGATGTCTTGCTTAGTCTACTGGGGAAGAATGTTTGTTAAAAGTGGCAACGTATTTTGTATGAATAGTTACTTTAAAAAGTTCCTGCCATTACATCTATGTTGATAGACTCTTAGTGTAGATCAGGGGCAGGAAAACTTTTTTGCCTGAGGGGGGCCACATCGGGTTTCCAAAATTGTATGGAGAGCTGTGCCTCCCCAAACAGTCAGGTGTGGCCCAGCCCCCTCCCGCTTCTCGCCCTCCTGCCCCCAACCGTCCCCCGCAGCCCCATCCAACCCCTCCTCTCATTCCTGACTGCCCCCCCGGGACCTCTGCCCCATCCAGCCACCCCTTCTCCCTGACTGCACCTGGAACCCCTGCCCCTGACTGCCCCATCCAACCCTTCCTCTCATTCCTGACTGTCCCCCCCGGGACCTCTGCCCCATCCAACCACCCCTTCTCCCTGCCTGCCCCCCACTGCCCCATCCTGACTGCCCCTCCGGGACCCCTGATCCCATGTTCCCCGCCCTCTGACTGCCCCACTCCCTATCCACACCTCCGCCCCCAACCACCACCCCTAACTACCCTGCTCCCTTACCGCGTTGCCTGGAGCACAGGGGGCTGGCAGCACTACAGCTGCGCCGCCCAGAGCACCAGGACAGGCAGCCACACCACCACGCAGCACAGAGCACCAGGTCAGGCTGCAGCTCTGCAGCTGCGCTGCCCCAGGAGCTCGCAGCCCCACCGCCCAGAGTGTTGCACCAGCGCTGCAGTGAGCTGAGGCTGTAGGGGAGGGGGAACAGCAGGGGAGGGGCCGGGGGCTAGCCTCCCAGGCCAGGATCTCAGGGGCCAGGCAGGAGAGTCCCAGGGGGTTAATGTGGCTGGTAGTTTGCCCACCTCTGGTGTAGATCATCATCAGTGTTACTGACCACATAAGGAATAGTTATAGGTGTTTATATTTTATTAAAACCCCTCTTCGCATTACAGTTTTTAAAAAGTTAATACACTGACTTCTAATAGTATACTATATTACTCTTCATTTTTGACTATACTTTTGTATCATTGTATGAAAAGGTTTCAGTGATGCGGCCCTCAGGCCAATGTACTAGTCCTCCTGTGGCCCTCATGGTGATTTGAGTTTGAGATCCCTGTCCTAGAACAATCTGGGACAAGCTAGTCCTTTCCTGACTGACTAGCTTGGTGCAAATCTGACTAGCTGTGATGACTAGCTTGGTGCAAATCAGAAGAGTGGTAGAGACCAAAGGGCCGCTAGAGGAATGGCAGAGAACCAAAAGCTTCCCACTTCTGAGTGTTTAGGGTGGGAAGGGGAGAAGCTAGTCCTCTATTTTTGCAGAACCTATGCTTTTCCTTTGTTTGAAAGAGTGACATTTCTACTGGCTGAGATTGCAAAGACTCAGGTGTAACTAATGCACAGTCTTGTCTTCCTGTATCTGCAGACAAGACAGCATTAGGACTTCTGCAGCTGCTGCTCAGAATTTTGCTAAGCAGCCGCAGAATAAAGTTATCAAGTTTCTGGGTAAGTCTCCCTGTGGCTGCTCAGAACTGTAGGCAGCAGTGAAATTATTCACAGGGGAAGAGAGCCCAAAACCACAGCAGCTTAGGATAGAATGTGTCTGTGTTCACAAGAGTCAGCCTAAGAAACCCACAGCTGACAAATGAGGCTATCAAGAAACTGGTGTAATGATTGCCTGTCTCAGCAAGCACCAATAGACAGCCATACCAGAACATGTCCCCTAGGACATTTCAGCTTCAGCTTGTGGGAGATTAAAGAGCTCTTACTATTAATATGCTCACACTTTTTCACACAGCACACACCACCATACTCTTCATCATGATTAAAAATGCCCCAGCGAGAATAAACTCAGATGCACTTCCTAAACACAGACCTCAGCAGCCAGGAGTCTGGATGGCTGCTTTAGTCACCCCACCTGCTGCAAATCAGAGTCTGGGAGTTTCTCCACACAACCTACTAAAACTCTGGAGAACATCAAGTACTGCTCTTGTACATCCTGCAATGCAACGTGAACATTCATCCATTTACCTCACATCACCCAGCCTCTCCTGAAAACATGCACCAGGCCCTGTAAGGAAGAGCTGCTTTACCTACTGTTTGGGTCTGTTCTACGTGGGCTCTTAGGACATGTCTACACTGAGATTAGACACCCGCGGCTGGCCCGTGCCAGCTGACTCCGGCTCGAGGACCTCAAGCTAAGCAGCTGTTTTATTGCGGTGCCCATGCTCGGAGGCTCCCCGCTCGCAGGGTCCTTGGGCCCGGGGTCCAGCCCCAGCCAGCCGCGGGGGTCTCAGCGCAGCGTTACGTGCCCTCAGCACTAACGGGTGAGGCAGCAGCACGTTATAGCGCCCGCCTGACACCGGCCCGCTCCGCCTCGGGCTCGCTTTCTGAAGCGGAAAGAAACGGTCCTGCCGCTTTCAACACCAGCCCAGGAGCAGGCTGCTGCCGAGCGGCCCTTCCCCAGCGCAGCAGGCCCCTCGCTCCTCCGGAGCCGTGTCCCAGCAGGCCCAGCCAGGGGCTCGCCAGAGGCCCGCCGGAGGCCCGCCGGGAACGCTCCGGGCCGCAGCGAGGAGCCCCCGGCCCCGCCCCGGAGTAGCGGCTGCCCGGCCAGGCATGCGGTGGGGGGCTCTGCCACCTCCCCAGCAGCAGCCCGGGCCCGTAGCGAGCCGCGGGGACAGCGCGCTCCCCAGGCCAGGCATGTGGCCTGAGGGGGTCTCTCTGCCTCCCGCCCCCCGTACCTACTCAGCGCCGCCCCTCACGAGCCACCGGACACGTCGCTCCCACGCATGCGCAGCTAACGCCGCTCGCTTCCACCTCCTACCAGCCAACCACCGAACAGAAGGGCTCAGGTACGGTAAGGCAGCGAGGACAAAATACTTGTCGTCACGGATCCGCGTAGTACCAGGAGCCCCCCTACCGAATCCGACGCGGGGGCGGGGCTCAGTGCTGGGGGAGGGGCTGGGCCGTGTCACACTGTGGGATAAGGGGCAGCGCTGGGGGGTGGGGGCAGCGCTCAATGCTGGGGTTGGGGGGCGGGGCTCAATACTGGGGGCCGGGCAGTGCCACAATACGGGGCGGGCTCAGTGCAGGGCTGGGCCGTGTCACACTGTGGGACAAGGGTCAGTGCTGGGGGATGGGGCTTGGCAGTGTCACACTCACTAGGGGCAATGTTCAATGCGAGTGGGCAAGCTGGGCAGTGCTGCATAGGGAGAAGGTGCAAGGCTGGGGACACCACACCGTGAGGGCGATGCACTGTGCTGGGTGGGCGGGGCTGGGATGAGGATTAGTGCTGGGGGCAGAGGCATCACATTGGGGGTGTTGCTCAGTGTTAAGGATTGGGACTGGTGAATGTCACAGTGATGAGTAGGGCTCAGTGGTTGGGGGCAAAGCTCAATGCTGGGGTGGCATGGGGCAGTGCTGGGATCAGAGCTGGGTAGCGTCACACCAGGTAGCACTCATTGCTGGGGTCAGGGCTGGGCAGCTGGGGGGGGGGGGGGGGAGGGGGAGCCGGGGGGGGGGGGTGTTACACAGCAATGTCATACTGTTGGACTATGCACTGAACTGTATAGGTGGGGCTGGGCAATCTCCCTGAGATGAGGATCAATGCTGGGGGCAGAGGTGTCACAATGGGGGTGATGCTCAGGGTTGGGGCTAGCAAGGGTAACTCGGTAGGGGCAATACTCAGTGGGTCAGTGGCGCTGAGGTTTAGTGCTGGGGGCAGGGCTGGGTAATGTCACTGTGTCATTCTTCTGTAACATTGTTTAAAAGTAGGGTGACACCTGAAAAGCCAATGCTCTCCCACATCTTTGGTCCCCATTGTTAATTTGTGGAACAGAAGGGCTGCTCCTTTTACAACAGCGAGTTACTTCAGCTACAGCCACCAGCTAAAGTGGGGTGGTGGGAGTGATCCTCCAGCCCCATCCCCTCTGGCAGAGAGCTGGCTACAAAGTAAAACTTCTATAGCAGGGGAATCTCTAAGCGGCTTTGTGAGGGTAGCTGTGAAGTGTTTTGTGCCACCCAGGCAGCACAAACTAGGCCAAGAAAAAGCTGAAAATGACTACAACAGTAATGTTTACATTTCCTTACAAACAGGATAAAAATGTAAAATACACTTAGTTTCCAAGTGCCAATAGCATGATCTCCCACCTATGGCACAAGCAAGCATTTAAAAACCAGGCAGTGATGACTCTCTCCTCCAAAATATACTGGATTCTGGCTTGAAGAATTGACCATCTAGAATTTAGACCTGAAGTTACAAATAGGAGGGGGGGGGGGAGAGTAAACAAAAATAAAGGAGAGGAAGGAAGGTGTGTCGTAGGTGAGGGTAGGTGTGGAATGAAAGGGACAGGCCAATGCACCCTAAAGAACAACAGAAGGTATCTCAATTATGACCATTTTCACTGTCTGCCCTCTCTGACAGAAGTATAGAGCCTGCAGAACTCTGCACTGTTCTCACGAACATTGCAGATACAGGACTCCTGATTCTCCTATAGTTACAGACCTCCACTAAGTACTCTACAATAACTGGGGATACGACAATTACTTCTAGGACAGTTTGCTGAAAGACAGTGAAAAACAATTCAAGGCTGTTGGTGGCATTCACGGAGCAGTTGCATACACCAGAGTGCCTCTTCTGGGCCTAAGAAATGAGACGTGACTGGTAGGATCACATTCTAGTGCAGGTTTGGGACAATGAGCAGTGGCTACAGAACTTTCGGATGTGAAAAGCCACATTCCTGGATGCATGTTAAGCTCACCCCAGCCCTCCAGTAAATGGACACCAGAATGAGAACTCTATTGACAGTAGAGAAATGAGTAGCAATCGCACTCTAGAAGCTTGCAACCCCAGACTGCTACTGATCAGTGGAAATCATTTTAGAGTTGGAAAAATCCACAGGGGGAGGAGGGGCTACCATCATGCAAGTGTGTAGGGCCAGTTATCTGCGACCCAGGACTGTGACTGTTGGCAATATGCAGAACATAGTGAATAGATTTCCAGTAATGGACTACCCAAACTGAAGTGGGGCCATACACAGCATGCATATTCCTCTTTTGGCAACAGGCCACCTTGCCACAAAGCACATCACCAGAAAGGGCTACTTTTCTATGCTTATTCAAGCACTGGTGGCTCACAAGTGACAGTTCACAGATACCAATGTGGGCTAATCAGCAAAAGTGTATGACATTTTCTTCTTTAAAAACACAGAGCTGTTCAAAAAGCTGCAAGCAGGATGATCATCATTTGGATTTGCTGCATTATGGCTTAGGGCATTTCCCTCTTTGGCCTGATGGGACTCCTGAGATTTTTTTCCATTCTAGAAAAACGGGAAGACTAACTTCTGTTGCTGAAAGAGAAACTTTTGAGCTTACCTAGAGTTCTTCACATCTGACCTGAAGAAGAGCTCAGTGTAAGCTTAAAAGCTTGTGTCTTTTTCACCAACCAAAGTTGGTCTAAAAAAAGATACTACCTCACCCACCTTGTTTCTCTAGTATCCTGGGACCAACACAGCTACAACAAAAACTGCAAAATGACAATAGAAGTTGTGACGGTACCTCCCATAAGGCTTTATGGAAATATGCTTAGAATGTGTTTTATGCTACATATGCCATGTAACATATCTCTAAGGTTATGATCTACTGAATGTATTAATCCTATTTGTATGCAGTATCATTTTTGTAGTCGAAGTTATGAATGGTGGCTGTGTACTGGCTTGATTTCTAAATAACCTTAGTAGAGCATTTGGTCAGTTCCTGGAGAAAGGAATATTGAAATTAAGTACCTAATCAAGAAATACTTAAAGGACAATGGCTCTTGGAATGCTCCAATCCACATAAGAAGTCTACCTGAGGACATTCAAGGTAGTATGTAAACAATGGATGCTACCTGAAAAAACTGTGAGTCATGCATGGACATGTGACTTGCCCAGGTGACTCCTAAATTCCATCTTGGAGCTGGACTTTGCGTAGGAGTGAGAAGGGGGTCTCCACCTACAAGAGAGTCTATTTAAACCCCTGGGAGACCCCACCATTGTCTTCAGCTGGCGAAAGAGAGAGCCTCTCCACCCCCCTAGGACACCTGAAAGAAATTGGAACAGGCTAAAAAGGAGATGAGTCTGTAAAAGGGAGCATTCTGGAATTGGTGAGGATCTTATCTGTATTGTGTTTGATTAGACATAGATTTGCGCATTTTATTTTATTGTGCTTGGTGACTTACTTTGTTCTGTCTGTTACTACTTGGAACCACTTAAATCCTACTTTCTGTATTTAATAAAATCACTTTTTACTTATTAATTAACTCAGAGTATATATTAATACCTGGGGGAGCAAACAACTGTGCATATCTCTCCATCAGTGTTATAGAGGGCGAACAATTTATGAGTTTACCCTGTATAGGCTTTATACAGGGTAAAACGGATTTATTTGGGTTTAGACCCCATTGGGAGTTGGGCATCTGAGTGTTAAAGACAGGAACACTTCTGTTAGCTGCTTTCAGGTAAGCCTGCAGCTTTGGGGCAAGTAGTTCAGACCCTGGGTCTTTGTTGGACCAGACAGGCGTGTCTGGCTCAGCAGGACAGGGTGCTGGGGCCCCGAACTGGCAAGGAAGGCAGGGGTAGAAGTAGTCTTGGCACATTGGGTGGCAGCTCCCAGGGGGTTTCTGTGATCCAACCCGTCACAAAAGTTATCAAATTTTTCCATGCTGTTGGTCATATCGGTCCTCCAAGTCCTTTTTGCATGGACCATGTAACGGGGTTGGGACTCACCACCTGGCGCCTCCTACTGGTTGTCTCAGGGAATTAGCTCTGTCCAGTGGAGTGCCCCCTCCTGGTGGTGTCCCGTCCGTCGTCTCTCCCTCAGTAGCAGGGTAGCATGGCCCAATGGCCAGAGTCCATATAACTCCCCTCAGTAGTGGGGTAGCATGGCCCAATGGTCACAGGCGTAGGGGGACCCAGGCCCTCCCTCTACACCAGGTCCCGACCCAGGGCTCTCCTAATGGCGGGGTTCCCGCCGCCGCACACCGAACGTCAGTATTGCTGTAACGCAGCTCGTCCCTAAAGTTCCCCAAGGTCACTTCCTACCCTCCATGTCGCGGTCTCCTCCGGAGACGTGGGTTCCGGTCCGTTCCCCTCTGGCGGGTCCTCTGTCTGAGATGCGGGGTTCGGCCCGGCCAGGCTGGCTCCTGGAGCCTGAAACGTGGGCTGTTCCTCCTCGGGAGCTGGCTGTGTGCGTCCTTCTCCTCCGGTGGTCAGCCCCAACTGAGCAGCTTTGCAGGCTTTTATACCTAGCCTCCAGTTGGAACGTGCCCAGCAGGGCTTCCGGGGCGGGGCTTCCTCTGCCAGGAAGGAAGCATTAACCCCTGCTGCGCCAGTGCGGGGCCACTCTGCCCCGTCACAGTCCAGAACAGCATCTCTCAGAACATGTCCTCCCTAGTTTTCTTCTGTCTCTCCATCAGGGTCAGGAGTTCTGCAGGTGTGAAGGGATCATCGCTCAAGGCCACCATGCCAGCAGTTGCTTTATAAAAGCAGTACAAATGTACCACTGAATTTACAGTCACAAGGGAAAGATAAGTTTCAAAGCTGCCTTCCCTTATTCCCATAAATACTTTTAATAAGAAATGCTTATTGACACTTCAGCTTTGGAGTACCTTAGCCCTGCACCTCTCTACATTCCCCACCAGGGACAAGGGGGATAAGGATTTTCTTTTCCAGGAAGCTATAAAATTTTGGTCCCTGTTCCATGGGTATGGATATAAGACAATAGTACTGGATATTAGAACTGTTTTC